GAGCAAATTAAGCTCTCAATCAAGTCAAGGGAGGCTCAAAGTCCAACCCAACAAACCCAGGGGATGCATGAGGGACGCAGCTACTAATCGCTAGTTTATGCCTTTGTTTTTCTAGACCCTACCACTGAACAGGAGACAACTGCTGTTTTACAGAGACCTCAGGACCCAAATGTGGCTTTCAGGCAGTGGAGGGCAAAGCTCACGTGGAGCCCTGAGCATCAGTGCTGACCCCTTGCCAAGTTGGCACCCCCTCAGAAGATGGCACTCTAGGCAGCCGCTTCTCACCAAATAGGTAGACATGAAATGCTTTAAGGACAAAAACACGCAGTACTGACAATACAGTACACAGGTATCAGTTCATGACTCTGAGCAGTCATCAGCACACCAGCCCATTCCTTATTATTTTCGAAATATAACTATCCAACTGCAGATATACTGTGTTAATTTCTCATTATATACATGTAGGATTTCAAACATTGCTATGGAAACTACTTTAACGAAATACCCTAATAGCAATCACACATAAGCCAAGGTCAGTGAGCCTCGGCAGTCAATGTCTATGGCCTTGTGATGTGCAGTACAGACCTATTAACGTAGGTAGCCAAACATGTCACCAGATTCATGGGAATCAGGTAAACAACTGCTAAATCCACCTTTGGGGGGGGGGGGGGGCGGACTGGGGCACTTAGCCGGTAGGCTGCCTCAGCAGGCAGCGAATCCCCAGTTGGATTTGTGAAGAGCATGCAGTGAGATTAGCCTGCACTGAACGCAAGAGGCACGCAAGCGCTTCAGTTATGAGGGTTTTGATTAAGGAATAAAGAAATCCGGGGCCTTCCCAGGAGAGCCGGCTAACTTCCTGGAAGGGAGTGTGGTAACATGCATGGAAAACCACACCATTTATCTCGAGAACTGGCGGGAGGAAGGTGACAAAATCAGCAAGGAGAACCCATTAGTATGGCACAGGTGCAAAGGTCTGCCTGCAGGGCTTGTTTGGCATCCTTTTTCCCGCCAATGGGGTGCTGAATAAAGGAAGGAACGCTGCCCTCTGCTGATAGCAGTGGTTTTTAACGCATATGCCTGTCCATAGGTACTTGCCTTTGGTATATTAATCACATAGCATTTTTTAAATTTAACTACCATTTTTTTTTGGTTTAATAAATCTACCCCCAGGAGACCACATGAGGATCAGGCTTTAATATATAAACTATATTTTAATGCTGCAGCATATTAAACAATCTGTCAAGAAATTTATTATTATTTTATCTTTTTTAATTTTTTTTTAACACATAGAATAAAATTCTACCACATGTCATGTGTCAAACCTGAGGCGTGACACCCGGGAGACCTAATTAAACTTGACTAGCAAAAAACATTTTAAAATAAGACATTTTTGCTTAAGGGTTTGAGCCGATCTTGAGGGGGCTGAATCGCACCTGGGGCCCGAAATGCTTACACACTAATCTCTGCAGCCGAATCTTGAGTGGTTCCTCGGTCACAGGGGCTATCCACTTACAGGAATGGTGAACTGAGGATCTGTCTGAACCAGAACTACAGACATAAACTGAACCAAAACTAAACAACTGAACGCACAGCAGATTCTCTCACACCACCTTTGGTCAGACCTGCAGCATTAACGGTTTACAGTGACCTGTAAGCATACACTACACAATTCCACTGGAGACTTCAGCGATCAAGCAGCTCATTAAATTCAAACCTCCCATTTCCCCCGTTCTCCTCTGAGCTCCTGTTTCACAACCAATTAGGTACTCGATCTCCCTCTCTGTCCCTTCTCAGGTATCCCTAGGAGTAGGGGTCACTGCAGGCAAATTGTTCAAATGAATAAATAAATCCGACCCCAGGAACCCAGACGTAATGGTCCCTCCATCAGCCATGGGTGGAGTGTAGACGACAACTGACCGCAAGCAGACCGGGGGGAGGGGCATGCCTAAATTCATCGTTACTTTTGTGTGGGGTGTCAAACTGGTCCTGATTCAGGATGATGTCATCTGCCGCACGCCTCTGTGAACCCAGGACCATGGTGATCATGGCGACAGGCCATGGCATTTGGGATGGAGGATTTTTCTAGAAGCGGCTTTGCAGGCCGATGACACCTTCATCCTGTGGCTACTTCTATTTCAGCACCGTGAGGAACTCTCCGTTCCTAACGCTCTATGGGATGTGTGGGCTGTCACCCAGCCCCCCCCCCCGCTGAATGTAATGAAGCCCCAAACATGCTGCAGGCATGCCAGGTCCAGCCTGTTGCTAGGACGCCGCCACCCCCTCCCCCCTCCCAGCAGCCTCAGGTTGAGCATAATTCACTTCAATAAATAGTACATAATGATGGATCAGAACTTTGGTTTGTTTTCATAAGAACACCTGAGCACCCTGTTTGTCATCATAAGAGCCTGCAGAACAATAGTTTTAATCCCCCCCCCACACACTCCAACCCAGCATGTCCTATAGCTGTAGGACAATCACCCTCCCCCCAAACTGGAATGCTTGTGCCCACTGTTGCCATGCCAGCACCCTAACCCCCCACCCAGCTGTGAAGGACAGCAGCTTCCTTGAAGGGTGGGGGGGCTTTGGCCAAGAGATCCTCCTCACCTTGTTTCCCTCATAGCTCCTCCACCGTGCGGAAAGCCCCCCCAGGTGAGCAGTTCCCATCGCAATCAGACTATTCAGGAACAAAGTAACAGCTCAGCCTCCTTGCACCAGTGACAGCTGCACTGGGAGTTTGCAGAAGGTGGTGTAAACAGGGGAGGGGGGGATAGACACTCAAGTGGCTTTTTTTCTTGAACAGAATTTCACCAGAAAGACATCAGCCGTCGCTCCGCTGAAATGTAGAGGAGGGGCTCCCTTATCCTCATTGCCCCTCCTCCCACCAATTAGCGTGCACCGACAACACATCTCTCGCTGCCCCCCCACACGCTCAGCGCACCTGGGCCCATCCTGCACGCCGGCATGGAGGTGTGGACAGCACCGCGGTACAGAAATAGCAGTAATTAACATGAAGACCTTGCTTCAGGCACCAGCAGTAAAGTGGGTTACAAACAGATGAGAAAAGGCAGCTTGAATTAATACACCTCCCCCAAGCACCCCCCCACACCCTTCTGCCGCCTGTTAATGAAGACCCAGCAGGGCAGCCGGCTGACAACAATAAAGATGCCGCGGCCGGTTCAGTACCGGCGGAATATTACAGCTAATGTTTCCTTAATGCCAGGAGTCCATCACTCTGTGGGCAGAGGTGCACATGGAGAAGGCCCAGGACTAGCCCCAAAAGGAGGCACCATCACTCCAAGGGAAACACCAAGCACCCCCTGCGGTGGGAAATCAGAGCTGGAGCACCAAAGGTTACACTCGCTCCCTCATTTTCAGTACAGACATTGGATTACAATCATGTGTCTGACATTCATATTAAAGACCAGACAAAAATTACTGCGTGAAGCCAAAGCCATTTATTGGGCTCAGGATGGATGTCTCCAGCACAGTCTAACACAGTGCAGAGCTTAGTTTCTGCTCTACAGAATTCTAATGCAATTAGTGCTTTATTCTAGATCTCTGAGGCAAAGCATCTCCACGAGGGAAGCATGGGAACAGCCAGGAAGGGAAGGGCCAGGTGTGTGTTTCCAGCCTCACTGTGACAGCATCCACCTGAACTGTAATACACACATGCTGCAATCACACCCATCTCCTCTGCTCTCAAAGCCTCACCCCAACAAGCATGGGTGACATGACCGTACTGCGCCCATGCGGAGAGGCTAATTTCAAGGAATGCCCCAGGGGAACATGGGAAAAGGAGTCCTTCACACAAGATCCAATCACAGACCTCAGACAAACTTAACTAACATCCCTATCTGGATATTAAGGACCAGGGGTCTGTATCACAAAGCCGGATTTCTTGCTTAGCTGGATACATTTTTTTATTTAAGGTAGTCTTGGCTAAATGTAAGTGAATGAAGATAAAGTCCATTTAAATTGTAGTACCTTAAATCTACAAAGTTATCTGGCTAAGCAGGAAATCCAGTACCATGATACACGTTCCTGGTCAACAGGTTAGACAAATTCAGTAGGACTGAAGGATCAGAGTTGCCCAAAAACAATCTATTAAATTATAAGTTTAAAAGCCTGAAGTTACTCAAGGGAACTTGCAGTTAACACTACAGATGGGAGTCTTCCAAGTGTGAGCTACAGAACCCAGATGGTGAAATCAAGTCAAGAGCCAAGCAGACCACTGACAGAAAAAGGAGAGCAATGATACAAGCACCACTCTGACAGAGGCAATCGATCCCACCCCACCCCACCCCACCATAACTGAAGCCATAACATGAAATTCTGTTCACCAAGTCCTACTGTTACTCTGTTAATCATTATCAACAATTTAAGACACTGAAAATAGCATTCTGAAACAGTAAAGATTTTTTTTTTAAATCATCTATTAAGTAGGCCAGACACACGGCACTCCTGAAATTTAACTGCGTGTCATTCTTATTCCTCACGGCAGGACTAAACTAATTAACAATCCAAACAGTGGCAGGCTGCTCCGTCGGCTTAAACGAATAAAAATGTCAGATGATTCATGCAGGAACGCCACGGCTTCGGGGTTTTCATATAAAATTTGCTGTCGTGCAAAGACCCCAAATCATCATAATTTAAAGTCGCTAAAATGCATCGGCACGCATTAGGCGGAACCTGCACCGAAACACCGGCGTACTGAACGTCGTTTACGGCGCAAGTGCACACCCCTAAAAAGAGCATGAAAAGGAGCCCTCGTCCCCGCTCACTGCTTCCCTGACGGCTGTTGAAAGTTGCAGAGCCCCGCAATCTTGTACTCCGTCTCCGACTTTGGGCAGATCGCGAACGCATATCGCCCGGCACCCGGCTGCCGTTACGTGCCGACACCGAAAGCGTGAAGGTAAACGCACGGAGCGGCGCGCGCCACAGGTCTCGAGGAGCGACCGTATCCGATGAGGCGAGGTGATGGAGAGCAGCGGAGAACCTACAGGAGTCCCTCTTGCCGCTGTCAGTGGAGCCTGGGGAAGACATCCCGGAGCGGTGTTTGCCGGTGGTACAACTCCGGGTCACAGCGCGGACGGGCCGCCGCACATCCTGCACGGCCGACCGGTAAGAGCGCAGACGGAGCAGGAGCTGAAGCCAGTCCTGTAAACGTACATACACAGGCGCGCGCAACCGCTCACGCGCACAAGCAAACGCGGGAAGTGGTAACGCGCACTGTGTCCGCCGCGCCGCCTCGCGCTCTCCGCAGAGTCGCCCCTGGATAGACTGCGATATGGAGACGTTACTACTGTAGGAGCGATTGTAGTAGTTCGGGAACGTACCACTCAGCGGCTTCAGATTAGGGGGAGGCAGAGAGAAACTGTAGCCTGTCACAATACAACAGGGCTATTTCCGTGGCGGGGTCATATTATCCCCACGGTATCAAACAATACTGTCCTCCCCAAAATAAAAATAAAAAAACATGGCCGCTAGGACTATAGACAGTAGTCTGTCTGTGTACTACTGATTCATGCCTCCCCTCGCAGAACTTCTCTGATCTGTGATCCCAGAAACATGTGTTCACGTTTCTCTGGAAAAGAATCGCAGGTCAGAGTTATCATGATGGGTTTGACAACTTCAGACAATAACTTCTGGACAGAGCTTCCAGAAGATAGAGGGAGACATTAACTGAGTAGTTGTAGCAGCACTGGGATTTAAGCATGTGACTTTTGTGTCAATCTGTGGCATGACCCTCACCAGAAGAAGCAATCTGAGGATAATTGGAAATTTGATGAGTATCCTACCACTGTCACAATTACTCTTTTCACAATAAGTAATAATAATTCCTGTTAGCTTAATTTAGCACAGCATGGTGGTTCTGCAGGTGGCATTGTTGCTTTGTTGTGGTTATGGTTTCCTTCTAGAGTGTAATATTTTCCGAAAAACAGCCTGAACTTTAGTTGGCGAAACCCACAACTCCTCCACTGCTGAAAACACCTACAGTGATTCAGCTGAGAAACGCAGCATGTGAAGCGGAACACTGGAGGATGGCTTTCATGTGCACGTCAATTAATACTCGCTCAGTCCTTATTAATGCTCGCTGTCCCTACAGCTTCTGTGTGGCGAGCAGTACAGACTGGGATGATCCTGTCAAGTTTGTTCTGTTTGGACCCACTTAATTAAGATGGATATGGCGATTTAGTATAATATACACATTACCAACTGGACGGAGGGTCCTGTCTATAGGTCTCTGGGTCTGTGTAAAAGGCCACATAAAATCACACATAAAAATCACTGGATGTGAAAATGTGAGATTGCACCCGGTTGGTAATAAACTTAGCAATCACAGACAGAATGCAGGGGCAATGTCACGCTGAGTTTGCACAGCCTGACAAAATCCATTGGCTTTTTATCATATTTTTCATTTTTATTTCTTAATCTGTCCTAACACGTAGACCTCGGAACCTCCCAAAACGCACGGACTTATCTCACCAGCTGTGAGGCTACACATCTTCTGCAAACATACATGCCTTGTACTTGGAAGCTTTAATTAATAATTGATTAAAGTAATTCATCCTTCAAACGCCTTTAGGACTGGGTGGTAAAGGCCGGTCCCAAGCAGCATAGGACACAAAGCAGGAAACCGCCCTGGGTACAGGGCACACGCACAGAAATAACACAGTGCACAGTCATCAATTCACCTAGTCACATATTTTTGGACTGCAGCAGGAAGCTAAGAGGAACGCAGGGAGAATGTGCAAACTGTACATACACAGAATGTTTGGGGAGGGTAGGACTCCATCACCCAAGTCTGCATGGGAAAAAAATAACCTTTTCGCCATCTATTGTGTTGCAAATTTGTGCTTTTGTTATAATTTATCGCTGAAAAAGGCTTCAGTTGCTGCACTTGCTTTACATAACAGCTGGAAGAGTGCGAGCGATGTGTCAAATTGCCGCTGACACATGCACACATTGCGGCGCACGGGAGTTGTGCGCGCAGTGAGATCAGAGGCGATCGTGAGTGATAAGTGAACGTTCTGCTGGATCCCTGCCTAACTGTACATGCAGCGTTGCTCCTGCCAGCTCCAAACGCAGTGACTGCACCTAAACAACAGCAACTTACGGTCTGCTGAAGGGGAAACTTTAACAAGAAGCCAACTAACTGCCTTCGAGGCCCTATAGACTTTCTTCAGTCTAACATCGTTCTAGATACTTATCCATAACATATATTCAGTGCTGATATTTAGAAACAGACACTGGTAATTAGAATTTAATTTCCATTTTTCTGTGCCAAGGGAAACCATACTTTTGACAAAATTGAACTTGTTTTGGAAATATGTCGTCATCTGACACGTAATCACTGCAGTGATCACTGGTTCAGTACTCCTGTGCAGTGATCTGATTCCACTCACTGTCCACAATTGGCTGACATAAATGTGACATCGCGGGGTTGGTCAAAAGGAGTAATTTTGCAGTTACCAGCATGCTTTGCACTGCACAGCACTTTAAATAGTGTAAATAAGTATGTTTATTTTATATATTTCTGTTAATAGTTGCATTCCTTGCATGAAAAGTGCTATCTAAATAAAGATTATTATTATTATAGTAAAGGTCGTAACTGTATAATGTTTGCAGCAAAATGTGTTTTGCTAGCAGGTCTCCACAAGTGTCGTGTAAATTGCTAACTTCCCTTTCTGAGCTGCTGCTGGTGTCAAACCAATAGTTGCTACTTATAAAGACAGGAGCTTCCATTTTAAAAGAGCTGCCACTCCTACAGTATATTAGAATGACCCACGCACTCCCCATAGTATGTTTATTTGCGCTCTGAGCGTGGGTCTCTTGCATCGAAAGTAAGTATTGTGCCCTCTAGGGTTGTGGTATAACATAAATGGGAGGAGGCGCTGAAGTCATTTTAATTATGTGATGGATTGTTCTCGCTGACGTGCTCAATTTCGTTTTGTCCAGACATCATCTGAAGTATACAGCCAACCTGACCCTCTATAAATTCAATGCACCGCAGTAACAGGGACACGTGAGTTTTACATGTGTCCCACATACTTCCTCTCACCTCTAGCAGTCATAGTTAAATACTTTTTCCTTTATCAAAATAATCTAAGTAACATTCCTTTGACTTTTACAAGTTGTTGAACTTCATCGTTTTGGGGCTGGGCTTCTCTCCGTTGGGTCATCAGCGTCTCTCTTCACCAGAAGCTGAGAGAGCAGACAAAGCCAGGCGACACGTTTGATTTCGGATGATGTGAAAGTCCTCCATGGAAGGTGACTGGAAGGTGAAAAGTGCATGATGGGCAGAACCAGGAACAGGAACAGGCTGCTTTGTTTTGCTCCCAGGTGGCACTATGGGGGGGAGGGGGGTACAAGAAGAATTATGGTGTGGTGTGGGGGGGGGAGTGGGGTGGTGGGGAATTGTTCAGGGGGGTTAATCAAATGCCTGGGGTATATATTCACAGGCCACCGTTCCCCATCCTCTCAGGATGGGTCATGGCGCTGATGCTTTGTCATGCTGCATCACATCTTCCTGATACCGGCTGAAACTCTCGCTCTGCAGATCCAGCGGCATATGGAGCTACGTACGCAGTTACTGTCCGCTGGCTCACAGGTAAAGTTGCCAGATTATTTAACAGAGTCTCCCTCAGTCGCTAATTCTTTTTATGTTGATCAAATCCATCTTCTGTGTTGCATAAAAACGGTGTAAGACTTCACTGACATTGTGAGACACTTCATGACACGTGAGGGTTTTGATGACTGACCACATTCTCGCACCTTATGTTAAAACTCTCTGGAAGGTTCCGGGCCATGCTGCAGGGATCCGTCATGGATGGGTTCACTGCATTGTCGCTTCAGGGCAGGACGTCTCAGAACACAGACTGCATGTCAGAACCCTGAGAACATTCATTTACACAACACAGAGAGACCGACGTGACCATTTTAGACCAAAGCATAATGCTGGGTCAGTCTGATTGGTGGAACCCTTAGTAACCAGCAACCTTTCATCAGGCTGGGAACTTTAATGCACAAAGCGCTGAGATTTCCCCGGACAGGCCTTAATATTCATGAGCTGGGATAGTAGCCCCCCCCAGGTAGCTGCTTGTCGCTGGGGGTGTGTGGGACGTGTGATTTATTATTCAGTACAGCTGGACTGTTACCTTCTCTTTTCACATACTGGTTTCGTAGCAGTTGACCTTTCGCCAGTGAGCGCTGGGCTCAGACAGACTTCAGGACTCAGCTGTAAACACGCCTCACTGCTTGTGCTGGGGGGGCAATGAAAGATTTGTTTATATCTGTCACTGTCACCGTGATGTCACCGCACGTGTATCTGTCACTGTCACCGTGATGTCACCGCACGTGTATCTGTCACTGTCATCATGATGTCACCGCACGTGTATCTGTCACTGTCATCATGATGTCACTGCACTTCCTTGGCGCCCTGTGATCCACCAGAGTCGATGCAGCGCCGTAAATCACATGATTTGGGTTTTTTTTTTTATAAGACACAGCAGCCAAGAAAGAAGCAGAAATAATGTTCTGCCCACAGTGTCATGCCTGAATGCACTTGCCAGTCATGGAATGTTCTGGAAGTTCGGTAACCTGGGGGAACCACTGTTACCTGCCTTCACCCTAGGAGCCCACACTGCAGACGTCTTGCATCGTGCGACCTGGCTTTGGTGGGGGGCGGGGGATGCTCACAGCTCAGAGTTGCTGCTGCGATTCAGTGCCTTTGAGAAGATGCAGTGCATAGCACCACCCACTGCTGGGAAAGGCCGGCCTGGTGTCAGAGCGAGGGTGCCGGATCCGGGTCGATCGCTTGGGCTCGTACCCCTTTGCTTAAAGTAACATCCAGTGAAACTCTTCAGCAGGAAGGACTGGTACAGGCTTCCATTCCGGCATAACAAAATGAGACATCGCTGTCCCCAACCCCACCTTCTGCATCACTACCCCCCCATCCCCTCCCCGTCTCACGGAGATGGAGGTAGGAGACGTCCCGACTCATCCCTCATACCCAGGCATGCCTGGGGGGGCTGCTTAGTTAAATTAGAGATTAGAGCCACTTCATAGGCAGGCAGCCCCTACTGTGAGCCGGGGCCGTGACTTCCTGTTTGCACTACGCTGAAGATTACAGGAGCGCTGCTTACTGAGGATGGATACACACACACACTCTGATGTTTGGATGCTTTATGATGGTTATCTGTATCTTACTGTTAAATGCTTTATATCTGCCCAGATGTGGCGTCTGTTTCATGTCGAGTTTGTGTGACAGTAAACCATCACTTCCAGTTAAGT